TGATCCCAAGATTTGTGATGATTCCAGAAAGTTCAAGCCTGAAATATTCGAAGGCCTAGAAGCAACAAGAGATGGATTCAAAATGATGCCATTTGGTTCTGGGAGGAGAGGATGTCCCGGGGAGGGCTTAGCCATACGCATGGTCGGGCTGGGTTTGGGATCAGTTATCCAATGCTTTGATTGGGAAAGAGTTGGCGAGGAATTGGTTGACATGGCTGAAGGCACTGGACTATCCATGCCTAGAGCTCAACCTTTAATGGCCAAGTGCACCCCTCGTCCTGTGGTAGCTAAGCTTTTTTCTGTTTGAAATGTACTTTTTTTTCTGTGAAAATTTAAGCGCATATTATTGTAATAGGTAATAAAGTGAATTTTGCCCCCCCAAGAGAACTGTGTTCCGAGTATCAAAAAGTAATAATTTTAACTTTATATGAACAATTGATTAATGATGAGAATATAACTAAAAGCCGTAAAATCAAATTTTACCGTTGGAATCAATAAAATTGAAATGTTAGGGCTGCATAATTTTGCTACTGTTTATCTGATTCAATTAAACTTTTTAGACTTCGGCATTATTTAATAGTGCAATACATCAAACTTCCTACTTTATAAAAACAATTTCTCACTAATAAAGTAAAAAATACGTTTAACGGCGTCACGTGCTTTCGTTTAATACTTGATCACACTTTTGCGTGCTTTGCTTACATTGCAACTCTTGTCTATCAAACTTTTTGAGAATTTTTCCACTTGTACAGTCCATTGTGGACTTGTATGGACTGTACAAGTTACAATCCACACTGATTAGTGTGGGCCCCACTGACACTAATTAGTGTGGGCAATTAATCAGTGGGGCCCACACTGATTAGTGTGGAGTGTACAAGTTACAATCCACACTGATTAGTGTGGACTGTACAAGTTACAATTCACACTGATTAGTGTGGGCCCCACGACACACTAATTAGTGTGGGCAATTAATCAGTGGGGCCCACACTGATTAGTGTGGACTGTAAAATGTACAATCCATAGAGGACTGTACAAGCAGCAACCCTCAACTTTTGATCATCGTCCAAGAACAAATGTCTCTTCAAAATACAATCTTGAAAAAATAGACTATCCTTATCTTGAATATGAGCTAAAAACATTTGAGATTTCTGAATCGAATTAATTCTCATAGAAAGAAAAGGACGTTGGATTTGACATATGAAAACAATCAGAAAGAGAAATATCAATTATAGTCCAAACTGGGTGGCCCAAACTCTTTATCCCCTGTTTGACGCCACTAAAATTTCTTTGGGAAAATTAGGTTCAGTACATCCCAAAAGCTACAAAATTGAATAATACACCTAATT